AGAGAGAGAGATAATGTTTAAAATTATTTTCACTCGTTTGAGGAGAAGGAAAAAATCTCGCGAGAAAAAAACTTTTTGAGGCCCTTATTTAGCTACGAGAGTCTATTCGATACAGATCGAAATAATTTCAAATAATGGCTGATTCTTCGGTGATTATTGAGTTTAGTGATAGTGAGTTGGATAAAGCGATACAAGAAATAGCGCCAAATGGTATATCTCCTATGAGTGAGAGCAAATTTCCTGGAGACATATTTGCAGGAATTGATAGTTGGTTGTGTACCCCGAGTCAGCCATCGCCTATGCGTGCAGTGAGTGTTGATAATGAGAGCGTGATAAGCGACGCGTCGACAATTTTTGCTGCAAGTAGTCAAGTTAGTGACACCGTGCCTTCGTACGAAGATTTTTGTGCGAATTTTTTTATGCATCAGCGTACTAGTTCTCCTTCTTTTGGACCGGAAAATCAGCTCGGAGAGTATGATTTTGACTCGTCCATAGAAATAATTGAGGATTTTGCTATACCTCCTCGCAGAGAACATCAGAGTACATCACCCTCCGTAGAAACAATGGATCACGAGATGATTGAGCAGCTCGAGCCGATGGAGGATTCGTGGGCGATAAATGAAAATAATCATATCGCTCATCTTGATAAAGACTGGTATGTTTTTTTTTTTTTTTTTTTTTTTTTTCATTTCAAAAGTTTTAAGATTATTTAAAGTGTAAACTTTTTTCATTACAGCTCACTATGTTCGGACATGGATATTGGAAGCGAAGATACGTGGTCAGTGGAGGAGGAGAGCGATAGTGATTGCACTTTTGTCACAGACTCTGAAGAAAATGTTGCATCGGAGTCTGAAGAGGTTGTCTCTCAAAAATCATGGGAGATAAATACAGAATGGAAAAAGTATTTTGTGTAAAAAAAATTATAATACATAGACAGATACAATTAATAAAATTATATTAATAGCACAAAAAAAAATGTTGTCATTATCTTCTCATAATTAGATGCCATGCCTCATGATGTGGCTACAGGGTAGATGAACATACGACGATTGCTCTGTGGGACATCTCCCGTGACATATAGCCGCACTTTCACGCATGCTACGCGTATACTTATTATGCCTACTACTATACCAACGGGTTCGAGCTCACAGCGCGCGCGAGCGCGCGCGCATACATACACGCACACACATAGCATGAGTGCTACGCACTCACGCTCATTTCATACACATAGGTGAGTGCACGCGCCGCCATACCGGCGCGTTCGAGCTAACACGGCGCCCGCGAGCGCGCGCACAATGCCTTCGCGCTATGCGCTCACGCATACATACACGCACACACACGTATGCTATATGCAGCCGCGTTATGGGATAAACAATAAGTATGTGCAATCATACAACAATCCAGCATTAATTTTATATACCCTCTCAGGGATCGAGGGTATAATGAAAATTAACACTTGATTGTTGTTAGTTTTCATATGCCCTCCCTTCGGGGGGGGGGGGCATCAGGAGCGGAGATGTCACTAGGGGAGGGAGGCCTACACGACTCGGAGGGGCGAGGGAGGGGAGCTGTTTTCATACTGCCACAGACATACTACTCAAATGTTTTGCTACCGATTCGGATTGGAAATAAAATAAAACTAAGTTTTGACGTCGTTTACGCGCTTTGGTCACCACTCAGATATTTATTTAAAACCTTCTTGGAAATTCCGGGTGTTTTTAACTCCATTTTAGAGTATAGAAAAAAATTATTGAGCGATAAAAAGGCTATAATATTAAGAAATATTATTCAAGCAGATCTATTTCAACAAAAATACAATTCACTCTTAGATCAAGATATCTTCCCATATTTAATCTATTTCGATGAATGCGAATGTGGAAATCCTCTAGGAAGCTGTGCAGGCAATATAAGTTTTCAACTATTTACGCCCAAATAGCATGTCTTCCCCCCGATATAGCTTCTCGCGTGAGTACAATTTTTCTAAGCATGCTGATGCATTCCAGCGATCAAAAGTTATTGAAAAACTCCCTAACTTTCAATAAACTCATTGAAGAAGCCAATTATATAAGAAAACATGGGATAGAAATCAATGTAGGTTCTAAAACGTATAGAATTAAATTTCAATTAATTCTAATTATTGGTGATAATTTGGGGCTAAATGAAATTTTTGGTTTCACGCAATCTTTCACGACCGACTTTTATTGCAGAATTTGCAAAATGACTCATCAGGAGTGTTGCCAGGCCACGATAGAGGATGTTTCTAAAATTAGAAATCGGATTGTATATGATATAAACGCTAAAGTTCCCGATGTTCATACATCTCGTTTGCGCGAATCGTGTGTTTTCAATAGAATAATTGATTTTCATATAGCTGACAGTTCTAGTACACACACCTTGCACGACTTTTTGGAGGGTGTTTGTTCATATGATATCCATGAAATCCTCAAATGCTTAATTTTTAAAAAAAAAATCTTTACATTAGAAAGGCTCAACAGCCGCATTCAAAAATTCGAATATAGATATACTGGATGTAATAAACCACTTGTAATAAAAGAACATCATTGAAAGCAACGATCGAATCTAAAAATGTCTGGATCAGAAGTATCATGTTTAACTAGGTATTTGCCAGTTATGATGGGAGATTTAGTAGAAGAAGACGACGAACACTGGAATTTATTAATTCTACTTCGCAAAATTTATGCTATTTTAACATGCCACTTCGTCAGAAGAGACATAATAGATTATTTAAAACAGTTAATAAGCGAGCATCATGAACTGTACATAGAATTATTTGGTGATCTTAAACCTAAGTACCATTTTCTCTTGCATTACCCTCGCCTTTTGATATTATTAGGCCCTTGTGTTAATTTTTCGACAATGCGGTTTGAGTCCCGTCATCGACAGATCAAATCAGTTGGTTTGAACACACAGTAGGTTCACTCGCCCCTGTGAGACAATTGCACTGCACACGCATTAATTTGTCGATAATAATTGACATGCGACAAACTTCAAGTAGATAGCACGATTCTGTGAGCACTGGTAGTTGATCAGTCTGTTTGGCTTCTTCATACACCTGAACCTTGGCCCAGTGCGCAGGTAGGCAAGAGATGGCGCGGCTCCGTGCGCAGAAAGCGAGAGAGCGGCACCGTTTTGCGCTGCTTGGCCGGGACGGACGATGATGAGATGAAAAAGATGGCCAATTTTACTAACCTCCAATGGAGACTTCCGAGTAAACTTTTCCGTTTTTCTCAAAGTGCAAGGGTGGACAAGCCTCAAGCTTGCGGCCACGACCTTGCGATGAAAAGCGAGCAAGAAAAATCTGGAAGAAGAAGCGCCCGTGGGCGAAAAACAGCAGAAAAGGCACTAAAATCTGGAGCTCACAAAGCGAGAGAGAGAGAGAGAGAGAGAGAGAGAGAGAGAGAAAGAGAGCACCGCTGGACCCCCACACAGCATTTGCGGTGGCTTGACGTTATCCACGTGACAGTGATCAAGCAATCAGCACGCACTGCGAAAACTTTGTCTCACTATAATTGATAAATCAGCGCGCGTATGCAATGACCCTGAACAAGTGGGAAATTTCGGTGGCTTGAATTGCAGAGCGAGCGCTTTGAGAGCACTTGATCTTGACCTATTTAAACAGCGAACAGATGCGAAATTGGTCATTGATAAATGAAAATAACACTACTCACCCATCAAAGTATTTAGTGTTTACAATTATACCACTAACTTGCAGTTAGTGGTTAAGAAATATACCTTTCCTAAAGCAATCTACCACTGCCGCACTACGTGCGGTTGAGTGAGTAAGCTTTTGCGTAAAGTCTGTCTTGTGATTGATAACTCTCCGAGAACGTACTTTCGTACTTGAATTCTCGATTATAAAGTTGTCTGCTAGCAACTGCTGCTGATTATACTTTTAGTAATACAAGTATGATCTATCCTTTCCAAATCCTAGCCGCGAATTTATAGTGTTTTTTGAACACCCGTTGGTACGCGAATTCTTCACTTATTTCGAGATCCAGGGTGAAGGAAGAGCCCAGGGGCCAATATCTAGCCAAGCAGTTCGTGTTTCCATCGAGGCAGTGTCCAGTGTCATCCCCAGGTTGGCCCAGTAGCAAGCACCGCTGATACTACGTATCTTTGGGCAAACGAATATTGTATTTCGGTTAAGAGACGCGTTTTCCTTGGCCGTAGTACAGACGATAATTGTAAGTCTGTCACCGTTACTCTGCGCGTACATTTAATATTTCCATGTTGCTAACAATATTGCCTTATTACGATAAATTATAATACGATCGAGCATTTAATAATACGGAAATATAGCATATTTTATTCTCGATAATAAATAAATAAAAGATATTTTACAGTTAAACATTACAAGTCCAGAACCGAATCTGCATTCCTACGCACCTTTCACGTTCTCACTTTTCAGGAACGTTAGATGAACTGCAAGAGGCCCGTCGAGGCTCAGACGCAACGTTCGACCAGGTTTTATTGAGCTGCATTACTTCCCTCCGCTGGTAAGTTAACTACAGCCCCCTGACGCACGCACGACGACCCCTACGACGCAATACTCGCTGCACTAACTTTCATTCTTTACTTGCACTCGCTTAAAGAGCCAACTACGTTGCAATATATTGCAGCAGTGCAGAAGCGAATTTCGCTTGCGAATGCGTACGTGACGCGTGCGAGTCGGGAGAGTGAAGAGAGAGAGATTGATTGATTGATTGATTGTTAGTTTATTATAGTTCATCTCATAGAGATAGTGAACTGAAACGAAAGATTATTACAGAGGTTTTACATGGGTAGGTATTACATAGGTAGTTACAATAGCAGAAAAAAGGTAAAAACAAGACAAAAACAGAGCATTATAAGAAAGATCAAATAGCGGAGATCAAAATCGATATGAGATTCCGCGATTGAAAATTAAACTTAAATCTAAAATCTAAAATCTAAAATCTAAAATCGCATGACAACGAACATTTATTTCATAATTTGGATTATTAGCGGCAGCTCGCGAGGTAGGCGCGCAATCGGCGGCGAAATTGTGGTACCGAGTCGGCATTGCGAACCGCCAGCGGTAGCTCGTTCCACACTCTCGGGCCCATGATGCAAAAGGAGCACCGCCGCATTTCTGAACTCGAATCAGGCACCGTCAGTTGAGGCGGGGAACTTCTCCTGGTCTGCGGCGCCATCCCCGTGTCTCGGCGCTGAAACACCTCGCTGATGTAATGGGGTCGTCGCAGCGATACTGCCCGGTACACCTGTAGGCCCACGAAATATCTTCTCCTTTCCTCGAGACTGGCACAGCCCATCCTTTCGAGGAAAGGTGCCAATCGCTCGTCACGGTGGAGGCCAAAAACAAATCGTATGGCCACGTGCCAAACACTCTGCAGCATAGTAGCGAGGTACTCTGGTAGCTCAAGGTACACCAGGCCACAGTAGTCCAACAGTGGCAGAACCAAGGTCATCGCAAGTTCCGCCCGTATATGGCAACTAAGCATCCCTGCTCTATATCGCAGACGATGCAGAACCCCATGAGCCCACGAATACACGCCACGAACGTGACCGTGACACGCCAAGTACTCGCTGAGCTGTCGGGCAATCAGTCGATCGAAAACGCGCGACAAATGCGGCAAATTCGCGACAGGCCGGGTGTCAGCCGGTGTCTCGGGCCTGAACTTCTTGCTCAGCGGCACAATTTGAGTCTCCTTTCACATGTCAGGGTAGGTCCTTTCCTCGATGGAAGCGTTGAAGATCTCAGCGAGCGCCGGAGCGACGATAGTAAAAACATCTCGGAGATATCACAGTGACAAGCCATCCCCGCTCCGCCCACGGGCTCTCGATGAACACTCGTGCAACGCGCCAAGTACATCGACTGCCTCGACCCGAGACAGTCCAAAGCCGACGACCGAGGGCACAGGGGCGGCGAGAAGGACCTCTTCAAGCTCCTCGCGCGCGCATGGCGCTCCCGAGTTTGTCACCGATGCGTAGTGCGAAACGAGCTCGTCGGCACCGAAAAATTGCAGAGGAGAGGGCAGAGTCGGCCGGGCCAAACCAAGCCGGCGGAGAACCGACCAACGACTCGCCGCATCCCCCGCCGAGGCCAGCTGTCGGCATTAGTAGGCGTCGCGGGCCTCTCTCATCCTTATCTTGAGCTCCTTGCGAATCCGGCGATACTCCAGCCGGAGCTCAACGTTCCCGCTGCGCCGCGCCGTCCGGCATAGCCCATCGCGCTCACGAAGTCGACGCCGAAGCTCACCCGAACACCAAGGCCTAGAAAGTCCACGGGCCGCTCGCACCGACATCGGGGCATGCCTGTCCAAGACCGTCGTCGTCGCCGAGTAAAAGCTCCGCAGCAGAGTGGTCACGTCCCTCCTGCCGGCCGGGACCGCGTCGTCCAGTGCTCGGCCGACATCGGCCCGAAGCATTGCGGCATCGCATCCTCGAAAGTCGCGCGACGCAGTAACCATCTCCCGAGCCGCAGCTGTACCAAAAGCGTAGTCCGTCGCGATGTAGTCGTGTCCCTGAATGAACGGCTCGTTCGATTTCTGGTGCGAAAGGACTCGCTCCGGCAGACTGACACATATAACATCGATCCAGGTGTGCGATTCTCTCAAGGTTCGCTGGCCCGTGACGGGGTCCGCGCGAAGCCGTGCCTGATGATGCGTCGGTCCGAAAGGCACCGGGTGATATGAGTTCTCCTCGAGTAACCTCTCCAAGTCGCGGCCCTCCTCGTTGACGTCCGTGGCAGACAAATCCGAGTTTAAGTCACCCATGATGATAACGTCACAGTAACTCTCTGACACGGCAGATAAAACCTCAAAAAAGTCCGCGAGGCAGCGGCCCTTGGGGCGGCGGTAAGCTGAGGCTACAAGAGCACGATCTCCATTCATGCCGTGGAGCTCGACGATAATGTACTCCGTTTCGTTCATGTTTTTTATTGCAGATTTTCGGATTTCCCTCCATTTGATGGTATCGCGTATATAGAGTCCGACTCCGCCACCGTGCATATACTCATCTGATTTACTTGGCTTGTTTCGATTGTTTATATTTCTTTCGTCGTTTGATCTCTTCAAGCCACGGTCGGCGCGAGCGAAATTATAGCCCGGAATCTTGTAGGAGGCGTCGGGAATGTCTTGTGTGCACCAAGTCTCGGAGACAGACAATACATCGATATTATGTTCTTTCGTGAATTTGGCCAAAAAGGTGATGCGCTCTTTGATCGAAAAGGCATTTATTTGCACTAATTTAATTTTTTGACGTGGACAATTTTGTAGAGAGTTACGCGGGTTTATATAAAAAGTTTCATTTGAGTTCGGTTCAAGCTGCTGGTAATTCCGTTCGTTGTCGTGCGCGGGCCCTCAGGCGATCTGCTTGAGATCGGCTTCGGTGGTAATATGGATGACGGGCGAGCGCTCGTCCTTCCGAACGCGCAGCGCACCCTCTCTGACTTAGACGAAGCGGTAACCTTTCTCCATCGCTAGAGCGCTGGGTTTTTTCTTCAAAGCGAAGACCGCCGGATTCACGAGTTCGTATGCTCGAATCGGTGCGCCGTCGGCGCCTCCAAAAATCTTCGAGTAAGGAGCTGCACCTTTCTCCCGCACCACCTCGAGGACTCGGTCTCGTACGGCGGCACTCTTGAATTTCACGATGACTGAGTCCTTCTTGCCGGCCGTAGTAGAGCTATCAGTGCGCGGCGCGCTCGTCCTAGACGAGTCCTGCGGGACTTTTCGCGCGGTAATGATGTCGCTGCAGAAGCCACTCAACGCGTAGTGGCTCAGGATCTTCTCAGACACCTCCACTGCTGTCGATTCGTTCGACGAATCTATGTTAAGGGGACCGACCTGTGTTAAAAGTTTAAATTCAGCTTTAGCTAAAAATAGCTATATGAATCGAAATAGTGGAAATTTTTTTTTGTGATAGTAAAATATGTTCATTCTACACCAGATTGACCAAAAACAACTTCTACCCAAGCTCTGAAATACCAATTACATCACTTTTTTCATAAGACGAAATATTGTGTTTTAAATTACTTGCCGCACGATCTTGAAAAGAGTTTTTCATCAATATTGATCTATGGGGTCTCAAAATCTTCAGAAAAGTACTCTCGTCCACCTAAGCGGAGCAGAATTTTGAAAAATTGCGTACAACTTTATATACACGTCAAAATGTGCCAATTTTTGAGAAAATTAGTATTTTATCAACACGAGAAGCCATAGTAAAGCTCTTGAAAGAAAAACCAACTTTTTTTTTCAAATTCTGCTCCGCTTAAGTGGATGAGGGTACTTTTCTGAAGATTTTGAGACCCCATAGATCAATATTGATGAAAAGCTCACGTCAGAATCGCGTGGCAAGTGAATCCTATTATAATATTTAGTATTATGAAAAAATAAGCGTAATTGGCATTTCAGAGCTTGGATAGAAGTTTTTTTTGGTCAATCAGGTGTCTAATAAACATATTTTACGATCACAAAAAAAAATTTCCACTATTTCGATTTATATAGCTATTTTTTGAATTTAAGCTTTTAACACAGGTTGGTCCCCTCAATGAATTTCACCTCGGTCCAGGGTTGGGGGTGTCGCTGGATCTGGGTCAGGCCGTTGACTGTCGAGGTGAGGTCCTCCACCCGCCCTCGGAGCGCGGCATTTTCCTCCTTCAGAGCCTTTACCGTGCGATTTACCCGTTCGCGGTCCCTATCGTACTCCTTGTCACGCTTGCGCATGTAGCAAAACAAGTAGTCGATATTCTGCGTGACGTCGCTGATTCCGCGCAGAGCCTCACACTCGGCGTCCTCAGCATCTTCAACATCGGACGGGGTGTTGCCCTCGCTGTCCACCTCCTCTGCAGCGCTGGCCGAGGCGAGCGCGTCAGGATCACTAAGGCCTCGTCTACCATCCTGTTCGGCCGACCGCTTCGCGGCCCGGCTGGTACTAGCCTTATCCGATTTCGGCAGCGAGATAAATGAGGAGGCGCAGCAAGTATCGGGGTTCTGAGCAATGAACTTGACGACGCACGTCGGGTGGCAGTGCCCACCACAGTGGCAAGTGAAGGCTTCTTCAATTTTTGCCTACAATTGACGCACGAGACCATCTTAGCCGTCTGTTTTGGTAAATTATGTGGTGAAGACCTGTGGAACTTCTCGAAGTGAACCTTGTTTACAAACAAGAGCGGCTAACAAGTATGAGCAATCTGTAAATAACCGTTGTGAATTTAAATTGTCTGACCGGTCCGAATAGCCCGGGAAATCCAGTCCTCGACCCAGCTTGTAGTGCAGGAACACCACGAGTACGATAAGCGTGGTGGGAGCTCATTCGGGATCACAAGCCCTACAAGGAGCGCAAGAGAAAAGCGAGAAAATTACTAGGTTTTCCTGGATTGAACTAACAAACTCGCAAGAGCCAGCAACACACGTCTCCTCTGCTCAGAGTCTGAAACTGTTCTCGTAGAGAGAGAGAGAGCAGCAAGGAGCGAGCTTCCCCTACTCACCAACCGCGTCTGACGAGTGCGCATCAAAAGTCTTACTCGCCGTGTCCCACTCCACGAGGAAGTCAATAGAGAGAGAGAGAGAGAGAGAGAGGAGAGCGGTGAGAGCTACTCCGCTTGTGACCGCAAGACGCGCCTATAAAAAGCAAGTCACAAGGCCCACTGACCCATTATTCTATTATTATTCAAAGTCAAAATTCATTCAAATTCTATTCAATTGTTACACTACGTTCATTATTGAATACAATTATTACGACTTTTAGTCAAATTTCGGTTACACAATCGAGGAGCGCGTGTCGCGCTCCGAATGGCAAGTATGGCAGACGAGAGCAGCGTCACTCCACGCTCCTCATATACGCGAGAATTGCGATTACGGGACCCGCGAAAACAACCTAACGTTATTATTTGAAATCTATAAAACATACGGTAATTCTGATTCGGTAAATCGATTCCTCGTAAAAAGTGACCAAAAAAAGTGCATTCATAGTCTCCAAAAAACGCAGTATTAACTAAATACGAATGATAAAAGAAAAAATCCCCGACGAAAAAACGGTCTCACGCAAAACGCGGTCTCACGCGGTCTCACATAGTCTTCCGGCCAACTTCATATCATCGATTTAATCGATTAATAAGGCTAAATGTATCTATGTATAGATGGTGCGCATAGATTTGATATGTATGAGTTTTAAACGATACATGTAGATTTTTCTCTCGACATCAAGATTCTCGCAATTATCCTGGGTAACCCGGTCGGGGCACCAGGTCGAACTCAAACTCGAAAATGACTTTCTCCACGCAATTACAGGTTTTACGCGAGAATATTACCAAGTTGATATTCGTCCGGAATCGACGACGACTTTCTCTAAGAAGCTGCGATTTTGCCGCGGAAATATAATTCCGGGTAACCCGCTCGGCGCACTAGGTCAAAATCCGAGCTCGGCAATGACTTTATCCGCGAAGTGGCGATGTTACCGCGAGACTATT